TTCCTGCATCAGATCGGAGTCCAGAGATGATACGGCTCAGGATGGGCACCCGCGCCCTGAGCTGAGGGAGGATGACATCGCCGCGGTGGGGGTGGGGGGCACCTGGCCGCTGTGTCGGGATTGGGGGCAGCTTAGATCCATCCTCCTCGAGGGAGACACAAAACCCAGAAGAGAGACTGGCGCGCTTCACCAAATAAAATGAAAAGCTTCTGTTCAACAAGACACCGTAAACAAAATTAAGAGATTAAAAACAGACTGGGGGGGAAAAACAGGCTGAGAAAAATATTTGCAATACATCACAGGCAATACCCAACAGTCACTATGTAATAACCATAATACAAAGAGCTCCAAAAAGATAGAGAAAACAAACAATCCAGTCAAAGAAGGGATTCACAGGCAACGCTTAGAAAAAATGAAAAGTATTAGTAAGAATGAAGGGAAGCTCGACTTCCCTAGAAAGTCATGTAAAATAAAGCAATGATGACGTCAATATTTACTTATCCGATTGGAAGAAACAAAAAACGTTGGTGATGTTCGGTTTGGGCACAATTATGCAGAAATGGATGCTTTCATACACTGTTGGTGAAGGATGAATAAACAGGATCTTTCTGGAGAGTGATTTGGAGATGTATGTTAAATCTTAACATTAAATGTTAAATATTAATATATAAACCTCTGATACAGTGTTCCCACTTCTGGAAACTTAGCCCAGAGAAGTACTCATGGATATTCAAGAAGAGCTATGGACAAGAGTAACAGCAGAAATAAGGGGAATAAAGTAGGAATTTCCATGAATAGAAGAGTGATGAAAACTAAATTGTGTGTGTCCAATAGTATGGAATACCGGGCATCTTCAAGATAGACTGGGATGAATGTGTTGTTAGAAAGATGTCCACGAGATAGTTGTTAAAAACAGGTTTCTTGACCGTGTGGGTGGGGTAAGTCTACTTTTATTTTTTAAAAATCTAGGAATGTATATCAGAAAAACAACCCAATCCAAAAATGGGCAGAAGACCTAAATAGACATTTCTCCAAAGAAGATATACAGATTGCCAACAAACACATGAAAGGATGCTCAACATCATTAATCATTAGAGAAATGCAAATCAAAACTGCAATGAGATATCACCTCACACCAGTCAGAATGGCCATCATCAGAAAATCTACAAACAATAAATGCTGGAGAGGGTGTGGAGAAAAGGGAACCCTCTAGCACTGTTGGTGGGAATGTAAACTGATACAGCCACTATGGAGAACAGTCTGGAGGTTCCTTGAAAAACTAAAAATAGAACTACCATATGACCCAGCAATCCCACTCCTGGGCATATACCCTGAGAAAACCATAATTCAAAAAGAGTCATGTACCACAATGTTCACTGCAGCTCTATTTACAATAGCCAGGACGTGGAAGCAACCTAAGTGTCCATCGACAGATGAATGGATAAAGAAGATGTGGCACATATATACAATGGAATATTACTCAGCCATGAAAAGAAATGAAATTGAGTTATTTGTAGTGAGGTGGATGGACCTAGAGACTGTCATACAGAGTGAAGTAAGTCAGGAAGAGAAAAACAAATACTGTATGCTAACACATATATATGGAATCTAAAAAAAAAAAAAAGAAGATGGTCAGAAGAACCTAGGAGCAAGACGGGAATAAAGATGCAGACCTACTAGAGAATGGACTTGAGGATACGGGGAGGGGGAAGGGTAAGCTGGGACAAAGTGAGAGAGTGGCATGGACATATATACACTACCAGACGTAAAATAGATAGTGGGAAGCAGCCGCATAGCACAGGGAGATCAGCTTGGTGCTTTGTGACTACCTAGAGGGGTGGGATAGGGAGGGAGATGCAAGAGGGAAGAGATATGGGGACATATGTATATGTATAACTGATTCACTTTGTTATAAAGCAGAAACTGACACACCATTGTAAAGCAATTATACTCTAATAAAGATGTTAAAAAATATTTTAAAAAACAAAGATAATAATAGTACCTACATCATAAGATTGCTGTAAACATTGAATAAAATATGTAAAGTACTCAGAAAAAAAAATCTATTTATGTATACATGCATATGTCCCAGTTCACTAATTCCAGGTTGCGTACCCTCTTCACGTTTTCCCAGGATATGTCATCACTAGCATTTTTTTTTTTTTTTTTGCAGTACGCGGGCCTCTCACTGTTGTGGCCTCTCCCGTTGCGGAGCACAGGCTCCGGACACGCAGGCTCAGCGGCCATGGCTCACGGGCCCAGCCGCTCCGCGGCATGTGGGATCTTCCCACACTGCATCGGCAGGCGGACTCTCAACCACTGCACCACCAGGGAAGCCCCATCACTAGCATTTTTGATTCTATAATATATGGCACCATATTTGTATAAGCACAGAAAAATGTCTGGAACAGTACTCAAAACTGTGCACGGGGGTGGGGGGCAGGATTAGGGAGGTTGGGGAGGGCACTTTTACTGTCTTAAACACGTCTGTGAGTTTAAATCTGTACTGTGAGCACATGTCATTTTTGCCGTGTATGAAAACAACACGTCAACAACAGAGGTACCAGGTACAGACTTGGCCATGGCCAGCCCCACCAGATGTCATCCTGAGCCACTGGATGGCCGGTTTTACTTTTCAACCCTGGACAACCTTTATTCTTAAGGGGGTGGCAATTCTCCTTTCGTGGTTTTTTCATCTTCCCCAGAATCCGAGCTGTCATCCCCGACAGCAGGAAGAGCACAGCTGGAGCTCTGTGGAGTGGAATCTGGAGCAGGTGCTGGCGGCCTGCTGCGTCCGTGGCCTGTGCAGTTAGGACTTCTGTCCTGGACTCTGAGTAACAGGAGGTTGGAGAGGGAAGCGACCTTAGAGGGCACTGGATTCAGCTTTCTCATCTCATGATTTCATCCCTGAGGAAACGAAGGTTCAGAGACGTGAGGCGATGGTCCCAGTCCTGGCCCTGCCCTGGAGACTAGGCTTCGGGGTCCCAGCCATCGCTCTCTCCCATGGGGTTCTGCTGAATGTGTGAGCCAAGAACTAAGATCCCCTTGACCCAGTATTTGTGTAGCTCTGAATTCTGTAGGACTCTTTGACGCAAGTCCCAGAAAACATGCACAACGGTGGGGACACTTGCAGGGGTGTTGAACAAGAAGTCCAGATGTAGTTCTCGGGGTTGTTCGTGCTGTTCAAAGATGTGATCAGGGACACAAGCCCTTTCCTCCGTCACCTTCAGTGTGTTGGTTTTCACATCAGGTTTGTCACCTCATGGTTGCAAGGTGGCTGCCATAGCTGTAGTTACATGTTTTCACAAAACAGTGGCCAAAGCAGGAGGGGAGGAAGGCGGTCGGAACCTCACTGCCTAATCCCCCTTCCTCCTGTTGGCCAGGGTTAGTCACGCGCCCATCCCTTAGATCAATCACTGGCAAAGGGGAAAGGGGTCATTTGATTGGCTTAGACCACTCCTGATTCATCCTCTGGTGAGTGCATGTCATTGCCATCTGGGGTTCTGTTAGCAGCCCAGAGAGGGGGCAAGGAGCAGTACTGCCATCTGCTTCTAACCCTTGGTAGTGAGAGAGAAAATCCCCTATAATAACTTCGCCCAGCCGGGACATCCACTGTGAGTGCTTTTGGAGAACTTGTTGCCCCTGTTGGTACATAGGCAGGTGATACTGGTCATGCCTGATGGAGGCTGAGGGGCTTTGTTGTTATTATGGCTACACTGAAATAGAGTTCACGTGCCATCTGATCCGTTCATTCATTCATGTATTTAAACGGTGACTTTTTAAAATTAATCTATTATTTTTGGCTGCGTTGGGTCTTTGTTGCTGCACGTGGGCTTTCTCTAGTTGCGGTGAGCAACTACGCTTCGTTGTGGTGCACAGGCTTCAGTAGTTGTGGCTCGTGGGCTCTGGAGTGCAGGCTCAGTAGTTGCGGCTCACGGGCTCTAGAGCACAGGCTCAGTTGTTGTGGCGCACGGGCTCTAGAGCGCAGGCTCAGTAGTTGTGGCGCACAGGCTTAGCTGCTCTGCGGCATGTGGGATCTTCCCGAACCAGGGCTCGAGCCCGTGTCCCCTGCACTGGCAGGCGGATTCTTAACCACTGCGCCACCAGGGAAGTCCCTGACACTCTTCTTAACTACCTCGTCAGGTGACTGCAAGCAAAGCACGTGGGGTGGGGGCCAGGCACGCCCAGGTGTGCTCTGGAATGATGACGCTGTAGGCGAGGACCCCGGAGCATCGTGGAGCAGGGTGCGGGGACCCAGGGCAGCGATGGGGGTGGATGCTGGGAACACGCAGTGAGGCGGGACCACCAGCCGCGACTTTGGGGTGGAGAGAAGCGAAGCTCTGGAGGCAGAATCGGCAGCACCGCGTACGGATGTGTCTGTGGGGAAGGACGGGGGAGGTTGTCAGCACCCGCCCTCCCTGGGTGGGCGAGGCTGCGAGGGGTGGTAAGGTCAGTCACTGAGGCCCGGGGCGGGGGCGGGGTGGGGCACGGGCCTGGGCAGAGCCGAAATTGGAACACCTGGGCTTGGGCCCGGGCTCTCCTGGGGAGACCGACAGGCGGCAGGGGGCGCAGGACGGGCTCTCCGGAGGCGCCGGGGCTGCAGGGGAAGGGTCTGGGGATTCAGTTAAGGGTCCCGTGTGAGGCCTTGGGGCCTGAGCTCAACCGGGGCGAACAGGGGGCCGAGGCGGCGCTGGGGGCGAGGATGGGGAGCCCGGCCCAAGGGACGGGCCGCGCCTCCCCGTCGTTCTCGGGCGAGCCCTGCCGTCCAGCGGTGTCCGTGGTGTGCGTTGGGGAAACCCCGAAGCCTGCAGGTCGTCGCCTCGCCCGGCGGCGGCGGCGCGGGGTCCTCTCGCGGCAGGTCCGGCCCTGACCCCCAGCGCGGGTTCCCGGGAAGGTGCGAGCGCTCGGACTGCCCCGCCGGGTGGGGCGCACGGAGCGCGGGGCCGGCGGTGGGGCGGAGGGGGCGGGCTCGGCCGAGGCACCACCCCCGCCCCCGCGCCGCCTTCGTCCCGCCTGCCGGCCGGCAGAACTCGAGACCCCGGCTCAGACGCGCGGTCCGGGCGCTCGTGGCAGCGCGGCTGGGCCGGTTGGCGATGCCGCTGGAGCTGACACAGGCCGCGCTGTACGTGGTGCTGGAGCTGGCGCTGGCCGCGCTGGCGCTGGCCGGCAATGTGCTGGTGTGCGCGGCGGTGGGCACCTCGAGCGCGCTGCAGACGCCCACCAACTACTTCCTGGTGTCCCTGGCGGCGGCCGACGTGGCCGTGGGGCTCTTCGCCATCCCCTTCGCCGTCACTATCAGCCTGGGCTTCTGCACCGACTTCCACAGCTGCCTCTTCCTCGCCTGCTTCGTGCTGGTGGTCACGCAGAGCTCCATCTTCAGCCTCCTGGCCGTGGCCGTCGACAGGTACCTGGCCGTGCGCGTCCCGCTCAGGTGAGGCCCCGGCCCCGCGGAGCCCGCCCGCCCCGGCCCCCGGGACCCCAGACCCTCCCGGCCGGGGCGCGGGGCGCGCGAGTTCCGGCCCGCAGCCTCCGGACACACGTGCGCCGGGCTCGACCCTCTCGGCGCCCCGGGCCTGCGCCTCCTTCAGGGGACCCGAGTAGGGACAGCCCTGGCGCCCCGGGGGTGCGGCCCGGCGGGGCAGCTCCGGGGAAAGCGCCCCGAGCGGGCGGGAAGGGGCCCGGCGAGCGCTGGGCGGTAGGGCCGGGGAGAGAGGCTCCAGGGCAACCTTGGACGCTGGGATCTGCGTGGGCAAAATGACGCGACTCGCCGCCCGACTTCAGTCTGTACCTGCCGACCCGGGTGGAGGTGCTAGTTAACTTTAGGGAACGCTGCGTGCTTCTTGCGGACTCTAATCACCTCCTTATACTTTAGAGAGAGTTAAAGTGCTTCCCGGCTCGCCGAGACCGACAGCCTGAGAGCCTCGTGCGTTGTATAGCCTTGTTTATCTGCTGCCCAGTCCCAGCGGCTGGGAAAGTGCCACCAGGGTTTCCAAACGCTGGAGGACTTGCGGGTCGCTGTTTCTCCCACAGTCCGAAGATGCAGGAGCCAGCCGGCAAGGGGAGCGGAGTCCCAGGTGTAGCTGGGAGCTGGAGAGCCCGAGCATCACAAGCATCACGTGGGGCTTAATTGAAAGTATTTACTTTCTCTCTCCCTCCCTCCCTCCCTCCCTCCCTCTCCTTCAACCTCTCCCTCTCTCCCTCTCTCCCTCTCTCCCTCTCTCCCTCTCTCCCTCTCTCCCTCTCTCCCTCTCTCCCTCTCTCCCTCTCTCCCTCTCTCCCT